ACACTGTATAGCACAGGGAAATATACACAAAATGTTATGATAAATCACAGAGAAAAAAATGTAACAATGAGTGTGTATATGTCCATGAATGACTGAAAAATTGTGCTGAACACTGGAATTTGACACAACATTGTAAAATGATTATAAATCAATAAAAAATGTTAAAAAAAAATAAAATAAAGGGATTACCTATGATATTCCAACCAAAAAAAAAAAAAGCATAGCCCCCTGTAGCTGCTTGGTAGACCTCTACAGTTTCAAGATAGTATTCATAGCACCAGAATAACAGAAGAGCTGTCATAATTCGATTCATTATATGCAGAAGCTGATACTCACATTAATGACCCAAAGGCATTCATAGATGTTTATAATTTGTTTCCTTTTTTCTGCTTTCAGAGGCATAAAGATACAATACTTAGACATAGTCTGATTAATTTGTCTTAAATGTTTAATCACTTGCAGGGGTGAGCTTCAGTGAGCCTTCATTCTCCCAACAATACCCCTGACAAAAGAGGCTTTGTTAGAGAAAGGATACTTGGATGTTCACAGAACATATGTCCCGGTAATCCTGGGACAGAAGTCAGTTGTCTCATGCTCAGAAAGGGGCCCCTAACGAACCTCCATGCACTCACAGCCTGCCATTTGCTCAGTGGCCACAGGGGCCAGCATCCTGGCAAAGGCGATGCTGAGGGCAGTGGCTTCCTGCATGAAGCCCGCCCTCCTCTCTCCAAGCAGATGGGCCAGCCCTTAGGGAAAGGAAGCTCTTCTGAGATTCTCCTGTCTTCATTCTTCCCAAATGGGCTTTGCTATAAAAAGCAAATTAAACAGCCATTGTTCCTTCCCTCCATGAAGCTGGCAGACCAACATCCTGTCTAATACCATAGACTCCCGGATGTTTGCTGCCCGGCTGCTGACTCTGGCTACTTACTGCTTAAAGCAATGAGGAAAAATGCACCTTCCACTGGGAACAGGATTTTTCTTAAGCTCTGAGTCTTCCTTTTTTGCTGGGTCTTTTTTTTTTTTTTTTTTTTTTTTTTTTTTTTTTGCTATGACATATAACAGACAGCAGAAAAGGGCTTTCTTTTTAGCACTGGTATTCTTCTCCATGCCTGGAGAAGCTCTCCCACTAGCTTTCCAAATAAGTCAGCATTAGAGGTGAGCCTGAAACACTGGCCCTTAAATTGTCCCCTACCTGTGAACCTGGGATATTTCTCAGTGAAAAACTTTTTTCAGGAGTCCTTAAATACCAAGCAGTCAAAAAAATTAGCCATACAAGTTGATAGATGTGTTAATTAACTTGATTGTGGTAAATATTTGACAACGTATATGTGTATTAAGTCATTATGTGGTACATTTTAAATATCTAAAATTTCATTTGTCCATTAGACCTCAGTAAAGTTGGAAATAAAAATAAAATAAGATACACCGACTTTAATGTAAAATAGAAAAAAATATAGACAATATTTTATAATAACTATAAATGGAGTATAACCTTTAAAAATTGTGAATCACTGTGTTGTACACCTGTAACGTGTATAATATTGTACAGCAACTATACTTCAATTTAAAAAAGAAATCAAACAAATAAATGAATTAAAGCAATCAAAGTCACATAACCTAAAAAAATAAAATGAATAACAAAATATTTTCTAAAAAGACACATGGCTGAGATTAAGATCATAGAGATACCTCGAGTACCCACAAAGAACAGCCGTCAGGGAGAAAAGGAAGTAAAACAGGTCAGCAGCAGCTTTTGAGAGGAAAAACTGCAGAGAAAAAGAAGAGGGAGAGAGGGAGAGAAACTGGAAGAGAGAGAGGGAGAGAGAAAAAGAGAAGCAGCCCGTATTTCTCATGTGGCAGCATTCATCACACTGTGATGTAACTGCGTGTGGGCTCCTCTCTCTCCTTACTCTATACACTCTAGAATCGACATCTTAGGCTTCTACTTTGTTTGTAAACTTCATCTCAAGTTTAATTTTCACTGTAACCTAACATTTGTCAACAGCTCACTGAAAGCTACTACATCCTAGAGAGACCCGCTGGCCCGTCCTTGTGGGAGAGGATCTCTGAGGCTTCTCCGTGGACCATCTGAAGATGCTCGACACTGGCTGTAGTTGTCTGACTGGGCAGTGCCATTACTATTGGGTAAGCCGAGAGCCCTCTTATATCACATTTATACGGTCCTAGAAGTGCCATGAACCACGGATCTCTCTAGCTTTGTAATTGATAACTTAGAACAAACAGCTCAAACATCTGATTCATTACACTTCAGAAACCCTAAGGCAGAGATTCAACATTTCCGATAAAGCTTGGGGTGCTAATACGAGGCACTAAACATGGACGGTTCTATGAAAGTGAGTCCTGAAAGGAAAAATACATCTTGAAAGCCTAAGCAGGCTTTAGGCCAAGAGTCTAAAATTATTCAAAAGTCATCTTTTATCCTTTAGAGTGAAGGCTAGAAGAGGTATTTTAAAAACTAATTTTTGAAAAACCAAGTGTAGCATTGGGACATTTCACACTTACCAGTTTTCTAAACCATTACTAAACTGGGGGGTCTTTGAGGTTTCCAACATCAGCTCTTACATTAAGGTTTTCAAAATGAAACCTTGATATGTGTTTCCTGAACAGCTTCTTTTTACATGGTCAAGTGGACTTGTTCTCAGAAAGGGAGAGATGCTTCTGGTAAGTCAAGGACCCAAAAAGGAAGTGAGCCTGTGACAGTCAAGCAGAGTATGTGGATGGTGTGGAGGCGTGAGGAAGATTCTGTGGGGATGTGGCTCCTACTTCCGCAGGCAGCTCCTCTGGGGCATGGTCCTCCCTGCCTCAGCCCCCCTCAGCCCCCAGCCACAAGTCCTGCATGAAGCCACCAGCCAGTATGACCACAGGGGCTCATTTTCAGACTCATGTCCTCTACCTGATGCTGCATTACTAACCAAACTAATATTTGAGGAGATGTAAATTGTACTAGATTCCTATGGCTGCTGTGACAAATTATGACAAACTTAGTGGCTGAAACAGTACAATTTAGTATCTTACGGTTCTGGAGGTCAGGAGTCTGACACAGGTCTTACCAGGCTAAAATCAAGGTGTCAGCAGGCTCTGTTCCTTCTGGAAGCTGTAGGGGAGAATCCGTTTCTTTAACTTTTCCGGCTTCTAGAAGCTGCCTACACTCCTTGGCTCTCAGCCCCTTCCCTCCATCTTCAAAGCCAGCAAAAAGGTGCTTCTCACATCAAATCGCTCTGACCTGTTCTCCTGCTTCCTCCCACTTCCACTTTTAAGGACCTTGTGTTGACATAGTGTCCACGCGGATAATTCAGGATAATCTCTCTTTTTTAAGGTCAGCTGATTAACAACCTTAATCCATTTACAACTTTAATTCTCCTTTGCCATATAATGTGATTCCAGAAAAATTAGTATGTAGACATCTTTCAGGGAACATTATTCTGCCTACCATGCAAGTAAACCAAAATGAAAAGGATACAAAATGGGGGAAACACCCTCTACATCAGCACACATGAAAATATCTTGAAAACACCAGGAAATAAACGCAAAGTAATAGGTCCAAAGTGAATAAACAAAGTACAACATCAATTCATGGCCAGAAAGCTCACCATGTGTCATTAATGAAATCAAAACAGAACGGAGCACCCCAAGAGACTTTGGGGCTTTGAGAACAGATAGGAACCTCAGAAGTCACACGGCCGCCTTTGCTGAGCATTCATACAGTAGTTCGTGCTCAAACATTTTCACAGTCAGTGTTTTGATGCAATAGTTGACAATGTCAGAAGATGTCAAAATAAATAAACCAACACAAGAAAGTTGTCCATCATTGCAACATTTCACATTGGCTTTAAAGTGTCTGTGGGTTTCACACTGGTTGCTTGATTCCCAGCCTCCCAGCGCCTTCAACTCTGAGTCACTGCTGAAAAGAAGTGTTTATAGTCCTGACAGCTCAGAAAGCAAAATTCTCACATTTACCAGCAAAAAACAAGATTTTTTTTTTTTTTTTGGCAAGAGCTTGCACGTAGCTGAATCCCCATCAGCCTAAATGTCAAGCTGGATGTTGAAAATCTGACAAATATCAGATGCTCATTAGGATAACGATGCACAGGGGACATCCCTGAGAAGGGCTTGAGGGATACCAGTCTGTCTTTGCACCCTGATTGAGGCCCAAAGACCTCTTAAGTGCCAGGTCAGACCTCTCATTTCATCCTCCGGCAACCCATTGATGTGAGGTACTGCCATTTGTCTTTGTTAGACAAGGGATTTGAAATTCCAGGAGAGGTGAGATGAACTGTGGACAAAAATGTTGCCTGCCATATCAATAAACCAAGGATATTGTGGCCATCAAGCCATCAGTCACTAAAGCCGCCCCCAACTGTGTACCCCAAGGGGACTCAGGATGGGAAAGCACAGGACACTGGCCCTAGATAGCTGAGGTGCATATCAAAGGAATGAGTTCAGGGAGCCCAGACTTGCATCTTCCCATACATAGAAAGGCGCTGAATTCATTAACTTGAGATGTCTGGTTTTCTTTCGTTAGCAGTAATCTCTGTGTGTGTGTGTGTGTGTGTGTGTGTGTGTGTGTGTGTGTGTGTGTGTGAGAGAGAGAGATGTACTTTCTTTTGTTCTTTTTTAATTGAGTTATAGTCAGTTTACAATGTTGTGTCAATTTCTGGTGTACAGCACAATTTTTCAGTTTATTAGCAGTAATCTTGATGTTCGACTACCTGGGTTTTTTGTTTTGTGGTTTTTTTGGTTTGAACTCCTCTGTATACTGGCTCCTCCCTCACCTCTTTGGAGCAGTCCCTCAGAGATCTCTGAGAGGCTGTCTTCCCAGGCTTAAGTCTTCAGCAAGCCCACCAGATAGAACATAATTCTCAATTTTTAGGTTGTACTTTTTTTTTTAGTCGACAGTCTAATCTACCCCTAAGTTGGACTTTTTCTACTGTATTTGACTGTCACTCATCCAGTCATCCCTGATGGCTCTGCTATTCCTATAACTTTACAGAGAAGATGCATTTCCTGGCTGTTGTGTTATAAACAGTATGTATATGTTATCTGGATGTGTAAGTTAGTGTCAGTAAACATCTCTTTCAGTCCCTTCTCTAAATTTTCCCAAACATGAATTTCACTATTTTTAGTTTTTCTATGAAATATTGTATCTATAAAACTCTGTCTCTTCTTCTTTGTCTCTTAGTCTCTCTCTCTCTCTCTCTCCCCCTCCCTCCCTCTTCCCTTCCTTTAGAACTTCACTCTAGTGTGTCACATGTTTGTCGTCAGGAAGAGACAAGTTCTCTTCCGTCTCAGATTTCTGGGTGCTTCCTCATCTGAAACCACCTCACTGATTTTGCTCTACCACTCTCCAGCCTGTCAGCTCAGGTTGGACACACTTCTCTTTTCTAATATAACGTATAGCTCTGTACTTAGTCTCAAGCCAAACCATTGGTCCCCACCTGCCAATTCAAGTCCCCCTGCCCTATGGAGCTCTGCCTTTTCCTTCTTCTTCATTTGTTCATTTCATCCACTATTTTTAAGGTCCTGGGCAACATTTTCCCAAGGGAATTTTTTTTACCCCAGACGTCCACTCACTCTCCTTCTCCTCTTCCCTATCTGGTAAACTTTTCTCATCTTGCAAAATTTCCATCTGTCCTGCAACATTTTCACAAATGCTCTATGTTAAAAAAGACACACTTTCCTCTAGGATGATGGGCTATGCGCACAATACCAGGTAGCAGCTTTTTAAAATAAGATCCATAGAAAGGGTCTGATGCTATAATTCATGAATGTAAATTCATGCAAGAATGGAAATGCATTCATCAAGGGAGACTCCTCTTTTCCTCAGAGGGATTTTTGCTCTGTCAAAGGAAAGAGAACAAGTCTTATCAAGATACTGAGAGACTATCCACTCAGCGCAGAGATTTGTAACACCTCTTAGGTGAGAGTTTTTTTGCAAAGGAAGAGCTTTGTTCAAAAGGCTTCTATGCTAGAAAAAGCCCCAAGGTTCAGAAGAGCAATTAACAGAAGGTGTGTTGCTGAGACAAGGCAAGGAGAGGAAAGAACTGATCCTTTCCCTGGGGATGCAGACAGGTTACGGGGGAAAAGGTTTTGTTCTGATCAGTGGAATTGGGAGGCAGTGCCTGGCTAGTGTGGAAATCCCAGATCACCTTTCTGTATAAAGAAGAGGGACAGCAATAGAGTCAGTCTTGCCCCAAAGTGCTTTAAACTGAGGTGTTTTCTCCCATTGTCTGGCCATTAGCTTTACATTTGAGAAGACATCAGAAGGGGTTACTGTCTAGAAGCACAGAACTATTTTGCTTCCATCTTTAAATGCTTGCGGAAAGCACCAAATAGGTAAACTGGACCAGATAAAAAATTGGAACAGAATCCAGTAGAGGCAAGAACCTTATTCAACACCTTGATGACCAGCTAGCTCCCTGTGAAGAATGGAGAGCTCTGAAGTATTCAGAACCACACAGAAATTCTAGGACTTTCATTATACCCCGGAGGAGAATAACTCTCATTTGTTTAGCAACTATTACATACCAGGCATGATTCATAGGTCTAAAAAGTATTGTAATCCTGCAAGAAAAATATTTTATGCCCATTTTACAGTTGCAGCAGCTAAGGTGTTACCAGCTAAAAAGTTGGTAGAGCCAGGACTCAAAGCCAATTAGACCTGATTCCGAAAGTGATGTGCTTTCATTCTTTGAGGGAAGGAGAGGTGCGTTTATCTGTCAATACACTGCAATTTACCAATAGGAAACCCACATGCTCTGATCTCTAGGAATTAGTGTGAGTGATAGTCCCAATTCAAATGCTTTGCTCCATAGTCCCTTTGAAGACTGATATTATCAAGCCATTTTCTTAACATTTAAACAGTAAATGCAGATGTTTCAACATCGATAATACTCAGAATGAGAACTTCAACTGCCTACACAGAAGAGAGGATCCTTCAACAGAGGAATGCTCAACTGACGATTTCTGATAAGACATTTAAAAATCACTTGTGTTCATGGTTAGCCATCTTGGTTACACAACAGAATCATTGGGTGAGGGGGACTTTTTTTTAAGTAAATGCCCAGCTCTGTGCCTACGGATTCTGTTCTATAGGTCTGGGGTAGAGCCAGGCAACCTGCACTTAAAAAAAAAATTGCTCAGAGGACTTTGATCTGTTGCCAGGGCTGGTACCTACCCACAGAAGCACAGTCAAAACAGACTTCAGATTTCCCTTCCATCCTGTCACTTGCAAATGCAATCACAATGCAATCAAAGAGAGTCACAAATCCCTAATCCAGAAACTCTTCCAGAGCATCACAAAGCAATCACAGAATAGTTTTTTATATTTTTAATGAAGGCCAAAATTCAGCATAACTGGAGCAGGAAACCACCAGATGTGAATATATTAAGCTTTATTTTAAGAGATCGCGATTGGAATTGTTTACATCCTAGAGAGTGCTATGAGCTGACAGATGGTGAGCGGCCCAGAGGAGGCGAGCAGGCTGGTCTAGTGAGCTCTACCTTAATCCTGCCCCACCTCTCTGGTCACCGTTAAGGGAGATGCTGTATTATGTCTTTGGCATGACTATTCTCTGGCTGTACCTGAACCATTCCCATTTTAATCCAACCTTGATCCTTTAAAACTGTCTGTTTTAAAGGGTCTCAAATCCTATCATTTTTAAAACAATCATTTCAACAGTAATATCCCAAAACATATTATTCATTTGTCCCACGTCCAGAAAGAAACTCATCACCACCCCTATCATGACTGCTCAACGTAAAAGCATGAATTTTAACCCGAAATGCACAGACTGCTGGAAGAATAGTGGAAGCACTTCCTGTGGACCTTGCAGTGTCAGGGATAACTGTACCCAGTTCCTGTTGTCTTCACTTACTGTAGCCTGAGGACTGTTTCAGCACCAGGATCCTCTAGAACTAAAACTGCATCTGCCTGCTACAAAGTACTGTGCTCTGGGACCCACTGGCTTTGTCCAGAAGGGCTTTTAATGTCTTACAGTTGTGCTGCTTTAAGAGTTTGGGTGTACATTTTGGGTTCAGAGAAAGCAAAAAAGCCTCCAGTAAGCAGGGTTGGACTATAAGCTTAGAGGGTTGTGTAAACTCAACAGGTTAGGCTCTGGAAACATCTGTGCAGCCCACTCCCCACTGCCCTTGCGTCTAAATGCTGCTCTCAGGGAGTAAACAGCCCACCCAGCTCCCTGAGCAGAACAGGGGAGGTAACTTCCCAGGATGAACTACGATATGAAGAGGGGTGAGAGTTAGCCTGATGAAACTGGGGCAGGGAGAGAGAACAGCATGTGGGAGGGAACCCAGCCCACTCCAGGTGATGTAAGATCAGTGTGACCGAAGTGTAGAGTGACACGTGAGAAATTCCCAGGAGTCAGAAAGGCTGGACAGGCAGGGAGATCTCACTTGATTGAAGCCATAAGGCACAGTGAAAGGTGTAGACTTCATTCCGGAAGGAGTAACGTATACTTGAAGGGTTTAAGCTGGGAAGAGATAGGAATAAATTTGCATCCTAGAAAGGTTGTTCTGGCCAGGAGAATGGACTTGAAGGATGTGGAACTAACAAGAAGAGACCAGCTAGGAGGCAAGGCAGGAGACAGGGGTGGACAGGAGGAGAATGAGAGTATAGCACAGATGGAGAGAAATAAAAATATCCCATAAAAAGCCTTCTTAGCAGGACTTGAGGGTTAATTTGACTGGAAGGCAGGGAGGTCAGAGAGAGAGAGAGGGAGAGAGAGAACCAAGATGGCTCTCGTGCTGTTCGTTGAAGGTGGAGAGATTCTGAGACCACTTTGGACTTGCTGAGTTGGTGGTGCCTGTAACATATCCAGGTGGAGGTGTCAGGTAGGCAAACAACTAACCAGCCTTGAGCTCTTCAGGCCTTGTTCCTTCTCCCCATAAGGCCAAACCACCAGCCCACTTTATCTGGCTCTCCTGTGCCCTCTTTACGTTTCTCCCGGTGACATATATCCATCACCAAAAAATTCTGAGTAAAAATCACACAATAGGCAAATACCGCGTGGTGTGCTGGTAAGTGTTTACAAGAGCTTATTCCTCCTGCCCTCAAGAACGGCCTGATTTGTAGCATTTGCTGACTTCCACGGTGTACAGATTCTTGCTGTGGCCAAGTTCGGGATGTCGATGTGATATCTCTGAATGTGGAGCTGGGAAGGGTTTTGCAGAATCAGTTTTCACAAGCCAGTGTGACCCACTGCACACACTCATCAAAACTAAAAGAAATACATACATAAATAAATAGCCCTAGAGCAGAGGCTAAACCACACTGGCCCATTAGGCCAACCTCAAGCGACCTCCACTCTCAAAATGTTTCCTTCAAAAGTCCTAGAGAAAAACAATTCTGTTTTGTGCCTGGGACCATCAGAGACCTTACCGGAAGTTGAGTTAGATTCCCTAGTTTGATACCTGTTCTCTAAAACAGAAATCAGTCCATTACAGCCCTCAGGCCAAATCTGGCCAGCTGCCTGCTTTTTAAGGTCTTCCAACTAGAGTAATTTTTACATTCTTAAATGATAGCATTTTAAATAGTTATATAAGTACCTACAAAATACCTTTCATTGTGGCTCTTACCGCACAATCCCCAAAGCCTGAAATATTTACCATCTGGACCTCCAA